AAAGAATGGCAGCATATAAGATGTGGAAAATGCACTAGGTTGGGGGTGCTTTCTGTTTTCCAGACATGAACTTTGGAAAGGTCATTTAACCTATCTGATCCTTGGTCTTCCTCCTATGAAATGTATACATATACTCAGTTTCTCTGTATCATAAACAACTCCCAAATTGCAGTGGTTTACAATAATAAAAACATTATTTTCACTTAAGATACCTGTCTATTGATGTCTGGCTCAGCTGCCACTCCACTCCAGCCGTGTTCCATATTTATTCCCAGGCCCAGGCTGTAAAGACAGCGTCCCTTATATGGGACGTGCCTGTTATCATGGCTGAAAGGAAGGGCAGGAGAGCTGATGGATGCCTCCCATAGCTTCTGCATAGTCCTGGCATAGGTCATGGCCTGTGCCACCATAATTCCACTCACTAAAGAGAAACATATGGCCAAGGTCAGCATTATTGGAGCCGGGAAGTATGTGTACTCCTCCTACAACCAGCCAGCAAATCACACAGTCCTCTTAGAGAGAAGGGTATGGGGGGAGAAGAAGCATGGTATTGACAGGACAGATACGCAGGCCAGTGGAACAGAGTTGAGAGCCCAGAAAGGAATCCACGTGTACATGGCAAATAATTTTTGGCGAAAGAGCCAAACACATACAATGGAGAAAAGAAAGCCTCTTCAATAATGGTGCCGATAAAATTGGAAAGCCACATGCAAAAGAATGAAACTAGACTACTCTTTGTCACATATTCAAAAATTAACTCAAAATGGATCACAGACCTTCAATAGATGACTCGATAAAGAAGACGTGGTACTCATATACAGTAGAATGCTACCTAGCCATTAGAAAAGAATACTGCCATTTTCAACAACATGGATGGAATTTAAAATATCATGTTAAGCAAAATAATTCAGAAAAAGTCAAGAACTGTATGATTTACTTATGTGGTATACAAAACTGAAAGCAACAAACAACAACACAATCAAACAAAAACTCACACTCAGACAACAGTATGGTGGTTACCAGTGAGAAAGGGGGGTTAAATGGAAGGTAGAAAAAGGTAAAGGGGTCAACTAGATGACAGAAGGAAACTTGACTTTGGGTGTTGAACACACAATGCAGTGTACAGATGATGTATTATATATAGAATTGTACACTTGAAATCTATGTAATTTTAGTAAGCAGTGTTACCCCAATAAATTTAATAAAATTTGAAATAAATTTAAAAAGAAAAGCAAAAATAAGGGATGCAAATACCTATTTAGTTATCCAAACCTTTGTGAGCATCACATAAGGAAAGGTATGTAAAAGTGCGTTGTAACCTAATGGATTGTCTGCTAACATAAGGTTGTCATTGCTGAACAGTTGCTTTAACTATTACTTACTTGGGGGATCAATTCCTTAAATATCATTAAAACCCATCACCTCCTCATTCTTACCACAAACCTTTAGAAGGTTTGTAACCATTTCAGTTGAAGTTTTTAAAAGCTGTGTATTTTTCCTTTTTGTAGTCATGTTTTTAAAACATTACAAGTGTAATCATTTATATTTTCCACTATATTAAACCCCTTTGAAGAACTTCTTAGACATCTAAAAGTTTGTTGACTTTTTCCCTTCTGACTAAAGTGATAAAATTCTCTTTTAGGAAATTAGGAAATATTTGGAAAAATAAAGAAGTTGTTTAAAACACTAGTATTCAAACATCTGTCTTAATACACACATGCAGACAGACATACAAATATACACAAATACTAATTTTTATTAAATTGACCACCTAATGAATATACTTCTTTGGGAATATTTTTTTACTGTGCTATATGCTGTTAGCATGCCTTTTTGCAGATATTTATATATTTTTAAAACATACATTTTACATTTTAATATGTAATACAAATGTATGTTATGTGTAATACATCTATAATTATTAAGCCCAGTAACAAAGCAAGCTCTCACAAACCCACTACACTACCCAACTAGAGAACTAGGCAATTACAACACCTTAAAGTTACCTCTGTGCTCCTCTAGTGCCGCCCCTTCCACCCGCGAGTAGCCACTGTCCTCAAGTTTGTGTGTTGTCAACAGCTTTTTTTAAATTGTGCATATATATTTTTTCTCCAAACAATATATTGCTGTGTGTTGCTTAGTTTAGAGCTTTATAAGAATGGTATTATATTATTTTTAGTGGTGAAATGAATATTGCAAAATTAGTTTAAACTGTCTTTTACTGTTACATATTTACAGATTTTTTTCCTACTATTTTACCTTTACAAAGAGGTTGTTCAGTCTTTGTGCATATACCCAATTATTTTCTTGGGAATAATTTGTAGAGATAAAGGGTTAAAGGTTAAGAATACTTTTAAGGGTTTTTTAAAAATAACTATACATCAGAAAATGTGTCCATCTTGAAGATTTTAATAAAACAAGCATTGAGATTTACCTGGCAGAAAATTGTAAATCATCACTAGCTTTTAAAATGCATCACTGCATTTTAAAAGGCAATAAGAAATGCAAATGTCCCAGTATCTTATTAAATTAAAAATTTCAAAACAAAATTCCTCAATATGTCTGACTTCCCGAAATCTCTTCTGTTCTTTCACAGGGTGGTACTTTTATCCCCTTAGCTCCTAAGACTAGAAACCTGAGAGACACCTTCTCCCTCTTCCCCACTTCAGCCACCCCATGCTTCCCTCAGTCAGTCCTCAAGCCCTGCTAGTTCTGTCTCCCCACCGCCCCAGGAACCCACCCCTTCCCTTCCGTTCTCACAAGCACTACTCTGTTCAAACCTGCTGATGTGTCACATGGATCATGATGCAGCCTCTTAACTGCTCTCCTGCTGGACTTTAGTCTCATGCCTCTCCAGTCAGTCCTTCAGGCTGTTAACTTCTCTCAAAACATAGACTAGTCTTAGAAACTGACCAGAAAAAGTCCTTGATAGCTCTCCATTGTCCACATGATGAAATCCACACTCCTTAGTTAAAGCCCTTGATCTAATTTAATCTCTGTCTCCAGCTTTGCTGCCTTGTAATTCACCCTCCCCACTCCACCCCATCCAATCCCAAGAACTCTGTCTTTTATATTCTAGCCAGTGTGGGCTACTTGCTCCCTTTCCTATTTTTCCATGTACTTGTTACTCCTTCAGCCTACAGTGCTCCTCCTCTTCCACCCTCCCGGATGAAATGCTACTCTTGCTCCAAAGTTCCCCTGCAATGCCAACTCGTTGCCCCATGCAGTTTAACATCAGTGTAAGTTATCATAGTTACGTATAGATGGGTCAGGCATGTTTGCATCTCTCCAAGTACTTTGAATGTCAAAACATGAAAAAAAATTTGCTGGGTAGAATAAGTGAAACTCAAACTATTTTAAACATATCAATTATAATACAACTATATGTAAAGTATATATATATATATATATATCTGTGTATATGTGTGTGTTTATTTGTATATATGTGTGTGTTTATACATATATATGGACAGACACAGAGACTGATAGTAACACTTGAGCTTCTGAAATTCTTTTGGGAATTAGGCAGAGTGAATACTTTTTTATAAAATGATACTTGCTAGGTTCATTTTCATTAGGGAAGATGCTTGCTTGGGTTTAAACAGGTGTCCATTTGGAGGCTTAAACCACACTGGTCCAGCTGCAGGAGACCCGCCAGTTGCTTCTCCCTGTTCCAGGGTGGACTGGCTGGAGGGACCTGTTTCCTGGCCACATCTGTGTCGTCAAAGGCAGAGTGGTGAACAGTCCCCTCAATTGTAAAGTGGGAACACTGCACTAGAAAGTTGTTAAGTGGGTGACTAGATGATCTTTAAGGCCCTTTCCGGTTCTCATATTCTGGGGTGTCTTTGGTTCATGAGACAGAAAAATGCTTAAGAACAAAGGAAAGTGCTGAGTGGTTCTCTGTTCTAGCACCTTCATTGGGGTCAAGTAGCCAGTTGTTCCTTTCATCACCTGTGAACTGCCAAAACGTGTTGTGTGGGAATTTGTACATTTGGCCTCTGACCAAAGTGTACCACTCACTACCTGTGTGGCCTTGGGTGTGTCCCTTTCTGTCACCAGGCCTCTGTCTGCTTATCTGAGAAATGATAAAGGTGAGACTAGATGCTCTGTGAGGTTCTTTGCAGCTTTCCTGTGATTTTATAATCGATGTATGTAAAAATATCCAAGGATTGTTTACCCTGTAGTCACTCTCCCATGTTTCAAAGTTGGAAAATTAGTAGCATGGGACTATTCACAAAATATTTTTCTCATCTCAAAACACTGTAGATAGCAAAGTGGAGCATCAGGGTTTGCAAAATGATATGTGTGATAGAGGAATGTCTTGGTTCCGTCACTTAGTTTAACATACCATAATATTTGCTGTCTTGTACTGGGTATTTCTCCAGTCTTAAAATGATCATCTTTGGTAGTGTAAACCAAAACATTTTGAAGATGTATGATAGGAAATTAAAATGTTGGAGTAGGTTTCAAATATGCGCACTAGTTCAGATCGGTCTAGTAGTAGTACAGTATATCTCAAAATACATGAACTCCAAAAACCACTGTAGACATCCTTTCTTCAGAAAGAGGCTCTGGAGTCTTACTGAAGAAAAGGGCCCCATTTTAATTTCCAAGGGACAAACTAATATTTTATATATGAGACTGATTCCAAAGTTGCTTCTGGCAGACATAACTGTTAGTGCTTAAACAAGTATTTCTTTTCTAGTAATTAGATTTTTTTCATTTCGATAGTCATAAATATTAACCACAAGCAGTACAGGAATAATTTATATTCAAATTGTCATACATCACTTTGTGAACACATAAAATAATTTACATTTATTTAGACCCTTTTATACAAAAGTGCTCTGCATGTATTTCTTTATAACCTGCTTACCAGTTATATATAGGACTCCCACCAGAAATAGGGGAGCAACCAAAGTAATTAAAGTATACAACTTCAAAAAATAGAGGAAAGAAGGAAATGTTTTACTTGTTTTTATATACTCTTATGACTGTAGGATTGGAGAATCCATGTTGACCAAATGCACCAGCACAAAAGTGGAATCGAATCTGCTCTAAAAGAGACCAAGGTATGTGAATTACTTCAAATGAATCAATATACATTTACTCATCTGTGGAACACCTGTTAGGGAGAACATGAGGAGCTTACTAATTGGAATGTAACGTATTATAGTTCAGTAGCCCTGACACTTAAACCAACTTAAAGAAAGGTAATTTTATATAAAAGCAGTATAATATATATTACATATATTAGAGGTGTATCTAATATATGTATGTATATGTATATCGAGAGGAGTATTTCATCATTCCTTCCTCCAAGGAGTAACAGAGCACCAGGCCAGCCACGCCTAGAATCCACAGCTTCCCCAGGCTTTCTGCCCTGACAGGAATACGGACCTTGGAGGATAGCACAAAGAAGCACTACCAGAATGAGAATTTGTGGGTCTCAGGCTAGAGCTATGTATTTAATGATCTCCTTTCAACTGGAACATTCCAGCCATGCTTGAATTGTGCTAGAAGAAAGTCATGTTATTCCCATACCTACTTTAATTGTGAACTTCACATAAAGCAAATTTCACTCACATCTATTTTGGATATGCATAAAATGAATGAGTTAACTAACGCTGCCAGGTGCTATTTTATTTTAAAATTCTGCAATGTGACTAAACTATTTCTCATTGCAGACTTCTTTTGCTTTTAAAAATTTCAAACTGTCTTATTTTCACAAGTGCTTGAGAATTTGTGGGATGACTGAAGGCAGACTTAACCCATTTTAAACTATTTTTGAAAAATATATTTGTGAATTTTTTATGTACTAAAATCTCATGGAATTTCTAGGGATTTTTGGACAAACTCCATAATGAAATTAGTAGGACCCTGGAAAAGATCGGCAGCCGAGAAAAGTACATCAACAATCAGCTTGAGCCCTTGGTTCAAGACTACCGTGCCGCTCAAGCTCAGCTGAGTGAGGTAACTTAAGAAGGCTGTCCAGGGATTTATTCCAGTGAATGACCCTAACCCCAAAACTTGACTCAGCACTTTCACTGGAGAGCTGTGAAATGTGTTTCACAAACAGCAACACAGTGTGTCCATACTTAATGTTGTTGACAGCTGCTTGGAAAATGCAGTTTTAAACAAAATGACCTATAAATGAAATAATGTTTTACCATAGGCTAATTGATATATAGAAATATGCCATAGAAACATCACTCTTGTTTCTATCAGTTAGCTGTGGTAGAATTGCTTAAAGTTGTAGAGAACCTATCGACGGATGACATCAAGTGAGAACTTACTGTGTATTGATTCTCTGCCCACTTCAGGAAGTCAAGTGAGGCAATAAAACTTGATCCCATTTTACATGTGGTAGAAATGATCTCCTAGAACTCTTTACATGCATTTCTTCATTCAATTTAAATAAATGAAGGCATATGTTGTTGGGGATCATGGCTTAGAACAGGAACCCCTGTTCTAAGTGTCAGGACCCCTTGTTTTATTCCTGCTGTGTGAGTAGGAGGAAGAATAGTGTGGGTTCAGTGTGTGTCGGGGGGAAAACATCCTTGCCATAGTGGCTTACTGCCATGTAACGAGGAATGTGAAAGCAAGACACATTCGAAGACAAGCAGTTTAATTAAATGAACAAATGTTTTAATCCTTTCAAAGTTTTAGAATTTCAACCAAAAAATAAAAGTTTTAGCCTTGGAAAGAGCAGTTTCTGTTCCAGTAGTAGGGATCTAAAGGCTTTTCTTTGAGACTTATGCCTCCTCTTTCCTCATATTGAAGAAGACCAGTAAGAACATTTACAAATGTCAGTTGAAGACATTGGGGTTTTTTTCCCATCAGTTAGAAGGAGAAAAAAAAAAGGAAATAAACTTAAGAAGCTAATGTATTTTCAGAAGTTCTCAAAACCCAAAAAGAAAATAATCTTCACTTTTTATTATTTATTTAATTATTTCCTCATATACACATTTATTCATGGATATTTTACTTTTAAAATGCTGTAAAAATCTGATTAAAGCCACTCTGTATCTCGCAAACTTTGCTATTAAATAATTGATTATTAGATCAATTATTTAATAGCATACTGTCATACTGTCATACTGTTTGTTAATCCTTATTAATTGCTAATCCTGATGCTCTATTATGATTGATTTTTCAAAATTGGTTTTGTCTGCATAGCACATAAATTAGACCAACCGAGAGCCACTCTCCTAAACTGTATAATAATGGCTGAGGACAGTTTTTATTGTGAACCATGCCCATTTGAGTTACAGTCAGTATATGAAGGTTAAAGCACTTTATCATTTTATAGTGTTTTAGTTAAATAGGCACATGGTGCCTATTAGGGAAATAAAATAGCTACAGTGAAATGTCACTTTCGCAGATGTGTTCACAAGTGGGGGGGTAGTTGTCATAAAATGATACGCACAAATTGCGAACACAAAGAGGTCACATCTAAGTAATCTGCTTCTGTGGTGAATTCGTCATTAAATAAAATGTTTTCTCCCTCAGGCAAAGGAGCGATACCAGCAAGGAAATGGCGGAGTGACCGAGAGGACGAGACTGCTGTCTGAGGTACCCACCCTGTGCCCCCGCAGACTTCCCCCCTGTGCGCCGGCCCCGTCTGCACCTTGATGATGGAGCCCCGCTGCACCGCGGGTTGTTCCGGCATCGTCTCCTTTGAATCCTTTTCTTTAGGAGAAAATCTCTACTTTCTTATCAGTGAATCAGTTATGCGTGTATATTCCACTTGTGTCCATAAAATGCCTCAAATTCTGTTCAATTGAACATAAAACCTGGTAATAACATTAGCAAATTCATAACCTAAATTTTCTTAAACATAATAACTATAATTGATATATAGAAGAGTAGGTAAAGCACTGGCTTAATTATCCGTAAAACTTTTAATATTATTCTGCAAGATGTAAGATTTGTTTTAGTGATTATTGATAACTCATAGGTAATACTGTTTCTCTGTCTAAAATTGGGAGCGGCTTGGAGCCCTTTCCTTCTGAGAATCTGCAACGTTTACATGTCTTATCGTATTTATGTGCATCATTTTGAAAGGGAAGTAAGATCTAATATACATTCTCATTTTTCACTGAAGGCTGAGAGAAAAAATACCTTTATTAAGGTCAGTAGCCAGTGTGGGACTAAAATCCAAGATTATATTTGATTATAGTCCAGTATAATTGTTACAAATTTTTCTGTGTCATACAATTAAGCTTCTTTTATAGAAATTATTTGAAGAGTAAGTAGTTATTTTAAAATATGAAAAAGGTAACTTCAAAAATATTTAGCATTTAATCCTGTGGTTCTTCCAGGCAAATAAAACATTATATAGGAATAAATTGCTCACTTAGGTTGACTAAATTAACACTTGAGAGGAGTCCAGGGAACCATTTAGTTCTTTTGGAGCGGGTAGTTATCCTCAGTTGTAATGTTTCAGGTGGTGGGAAAAAATTAATTTGCTTTACTTGGATGAGCACTTTATTCCCAAGGAAGTTTTTACTCACCGGTCTGATAAAAAAATAAAGCCAACTAAGTTGCAATAATTATCACTTAGTTCTAAATCATAATAAAAATTTTCAATTTTTTAAAAAATGGTATTTCCCTACATATATTAATTCTAGCTTGAAATTTTGTTAATAATGGTCATATAAGTTTGAGGGTGTAATTTTACAATTTTGAGTGCTGGGTGGAGTACAGATACAAGCCAGCCCAACAGCCGGGCAGAGTTAATGGTTTGGATAGAGCAGTTAGAATATTTTCATATAGCCCTATGGTGGAAACATTTCTTTACTGTGCTGTAGAGATAAAACTATAGTGTTAAGAAGGGCGTCTAGTAAACCTGTAGAAATCCCAGATCTGTCTACGGAGTTTACACCACGTTAGTGAATGACTGAGTGTTAAAGACGGGTGTGGGAGCCGCTGCGGGATGACTGCGAGGTCTGAGTGCCTGGACCTGCAGCAGCAGAGTTTCCCTCTGTCCCGTGACCGCCTGGCCCCACTGATGAGGAGGTGGTCTGGGGAGTTTGACCTTAGGGGCACTCTCAGGAGATAAAAAGCTTTGTATGGCTGCATATTTTATTATTCAAATTATGTCCCAAGTACTCCTAATGTCTCTATTCCTTTATGCATGTAATATTTCTAAATTAATTTTCTTAAAACATCATTCAAAAATTTAGAACGTTTATTAAAATTCAGTGCTCATGGAAACATTTTTTCAATGAAAGGTTACCGAAGAACTAGAAAAGGTAAAGCAGGAAATGGAAGAAAAAGGTAGCAGTATGACTGATGGTGGTAAGTACGCCCCCACTTTAAGGAGAAAATGAGCAAGGCAAGAATATTTCCTCAAGAAATCTACTTAATAAATGGTATTAAAATGGTAATAAAATGGTATTAAAATTCATGCTTTTTAACATGAATTTGTTGAGGACAGTTGCGTGGTGCCAAAATGATGTATAATAATCAGTTTACAGTTTTCCTTATAAATCAGCTGGGAGGAGCCATTTTTTAACTGTAATTTAGGAGTTTTTATATTCAAATGGAGTGAGAAATATGTATGCACTTTGTTGTGCCAATTTTAAAAGTATTTTGTTCTATTTTCATCGAATGAGCTTCATTATCCCATTTTATGTACCGAAGAGCACTAAGTATGATGCCCAGATGACAAGAAGGCCGTGCTCTGATGGCCTCTGAGTTTCCCTTCTTCCCCCGGAGACCTGACTGGGCAGGGGTCGAATAGAGAAGAATTAATAATCCTTCCATAATCATCCTCCATCATGAGCTAGTCATTTTGACATGACCCAGTAGTGACTGCCTAAAGCCCTTCTATGCTCTGAAAGATTTTCTCATGGTGTCTACTGAGCCATCTTTCAAAAGGGACATGTCGGGGTTTTGCAGGATGAGTGAATAAGCCCATTGTGTATATCTCAAAGATTGTTTTTTCTTTTCTTTTTCTCCCAATGTGTTCCCTTTCCCTTCGGACAAATGTACCAGCCCATAAAAATATATTGAAGACACCCCAAACTACCTCTTTAAAAACTCTTTCCCTTGAAAAGTCAGGAAGTTCAGCCTCAGTACTTCAAAAGCTGTGTCATTGCCCATCCTAAAAGTCTCAGGAGGTTAAATGCCACAGCAGAAATGGTGTGAATGTCATTAAGTTGTTGGCTGTCCCTATTTTTGGCTGAAGACAAAGTGAGAAAAATGTCGTACAATTCTGTAATAGGATGCTACTCCAAATAGACATTTTTACTCCATGTCATTTTCATTCGGTAGCTCCCTTGGTGAAGATCAAACAGAGCTTAACAAAGCTGAAGCAGGAAACCGTTCAGATGGACATCCGAATCGGCGTTGTGGAGCACACACTGCTCCAGTCGAAGCTGAAGGAGAAGTCCAACATGACTAGGGACATGCATGCGACAGTCATCCCAGAGTCTGCGATGGGGGCCTATTAAACACCCTGGGTGTTCCTGTGTGCTTCTCATTAGCTGGGTTTTTACATCAGATCATATGTCAAAGCACAATTATACCTCTAAAAGCGTGTTCAATGGGTATTTTTATATACACACACATATTGTATCATGGTGATTGTGAATGGTTAAAGCCTTTAAAAGAATATAATATTTAATAAAGTAATTAAAAATTTTCACTTTCAAAGAAGCTTTCACTAATCATTACATATGTTAAATGTAAGGTAACCCCCCCCCCCAGTTGTTCCTTTTTCTTCTTGTTCTTTATGTGAGCTAGTGTGTGACCCCTCCCTTCTGGAGGTTTGGCTGCTGGTCTTACCATGCAGACCTTTGCACAGGCCTGGCCACCTTTAGTTCTGTCCACTCTGCAGGGATTACAGGGCTTCTGCACCTACAGGCAGCTAACCGTGACTGCAGATTTCTTCCAAGAACCCAGACTGCCATTGCATCAGCTTTATGGTTACCTGAAATTACATTTCAAAAAAAGAAAGCATAAGAGAAAACTTCACTGTCCTTATTAACATTTGAAGTTTTATTATTTACCATGAGTATTTCATAACTAAAATGATTTTGTATTTTCTATGATTTAAGGCCAGCTAATAAGTAAATAAATATTTCAGTCATGTTCACTCTGCTCCTGTAGTGACAAGAAGGTTAGATCCATGTCTCAGTTCTACATTTTTCTGTGCCATTGATAATACTAAGGAGTCCTTTTGTAGGAGGAGTGAGAGCAAGCCCGTGCAGACCAGTGTCCTGGTACTGGTGAGGGATGCATGCCCATCTGGCCACACAGCCTGTGGACCCAGATCTCTAAGTGGTAAAACAGGAAACAGAGAGCAGATTTACGACCAGGGGAATGTGGTGCAGGAGCACTAACCAGAAGACAGTCCACATTTATTTTTGTATAAGTTTGTTGGTAAATTTTGATAAGGATACTTTATATAGAACAACAAAAATAATAAAATCCATTTCCCATTTTTAACCTGTTTTCTACTTCAAATTTTTTTTTTTTTATTTTTTATTTTTAATTTTTTTTTATTTATTTTTTATTATTATTTTTTTATTGATTATGCCATTACATTTGCTCTATTCTCCCCTCCCCTCCCCTCCACCCTGCATACCCCTCCCCCACCATTTCCCCCTTTAGTTCATGAACATGTGTCTCAAATTCTTTAGATTCTGTATTTCCCCTACTATTCTTACCCTCCCCCCTATCTATTTTCTATCTACTGTCTGTACTACTTATTTTCTGTACCTTCTCCCCCTTCCCCTCCTCCCACTCCCCTATTGCTAACCCTCCATGTGATCTTCATTTCTATGGTTCTGCTCCTGATCTAGCTATCCTCTTAGTTTGCTTTTGTTTTAGGTGTGGTTCTTATTAACTGTGAGTTTGCTGTCCTTTCACTGTTCATCTTTTTTATCTTCTTTTTCTTAGGTAAGTCCCTTTAACATTTCATATAGTAAGGGCTTGGTGATGATGAACTCCTTGAATTTGGTCTTATCTGAGAAGCACTTTATCTGTCCTTCCATTCTAAATGAAAGTTTTGCTGGGTAGAGCAATCTTGGTTGTAGGTCTTTGGATTTCATGACTTGGAATACCTCTGTCCAGCCCCTTCTTGCCTGTAAGGTCTCTTTTGAGAAATCAGCTGACAGTCTGATGGGAACTCCTTTGTAGGTGACTGTCCCCTTAGCTCTTGCTGCTTCTAGGATTCTCTCCTTCATTTTAATCTTGGCTAATGTAATTATGATGTGCCTTGGTGTGTTCCTTCTTGGTCCAACCTTTGGGACTCTCTAGACATATACTCTAACACACACGCACAATTTTTTTCTTCAAGCTCTCAAGTTTAGATAAAAGGAAATCTATGTATAAATTACTCCGTTATTCAAGAAGGGGGGAATCCACCATGTGATTATAGGCAGTTTGAAAAAGTCCAAACTTTATAGTCATTGGGAGGGGCTGAATAGAGAGAAGCCTAACATTGGTCCCATAAGCTAATATTGGTTTCCTTAGAGTTTATTTGCATAGGTATTGTCAGGGCTGAGCAGTGCTTTTTGTTGTTGTTGTTGTTGTTTTGATGAATTCAATCAATGTCAAGAACCCTTCTCAGTAAATCAGAGCTCTCCATAAACTGTATCTTTACTCAGAATCAAAGGATGCTCTCCATTTCATGCAAACGCAGTAATCTAAGCAGTTTCCAATGAGTACAGTGAACAGCCCGTTTGCCTTCTCTGAAACAATCCAGTTTGCCCTTCTGCTCTGTTCCCATGGGGCACTGTGAGTACCTCTAATGTGGGACCTACTGTACTGCATTAGAATTTTCTTTTTCTACCCTTTCTAGATGTATCTGCTTGAGAATAGGAAGAAAGTCTTTCATTTCCACATTTTTAGTCTAGTACCTAGCACACAGAGTGAGTTAGTAAGTGAATGAGTGGATGACTGGCCTTGTGCAATTCCAGAATTTCAAAAGCATGGCATATTTAGTGACTGAGTTTGACACAGTGTCATTGAAGTAATTATAAATGATGAGTTTTCCTCTGTGGTGTTCATTGACATTGGAGGCATCGATGTGAACTCATGGTTTTTTCCATACATATAGGTTAACAGAAATAACTAGACATACATTCATATTTACTTGTTTTGTCCTCTGAGAGGGCGTAGCAGCAATGATATCCCAGTAACAATGAGAATACCTGCCGTTCAGATCTTTGTTTCTAAATTTTCTACTGAAAAAAAAAAGACTTAGAAAATTACTTATTCCTGGCCTGGAGCAGAGAAAGAACAAAAATGAGCCTGAAATATCTTGCTGTCAGAAAGCAAAGAACTGCTGAGAGAATGATGGGGAAATGGCAAAAGGACACACAGATTGAGGGGTATCCCTCCAGCCAAGCTGGGACAATTGAGTGTGAAAGTAAATGATTATAGTGATGGGTCTAACCCATATAATAAAACAAGAAACCGTGAGTCTATAAAGATGGGAATAAATGGATCGAAGGAGAAAAGTCATCTTTACAATAGAATGACGGCTAGTGTAAAAGCAATATATTTAGAAATCATCATCTGGCGACTACCATAGTGGTAACTTGGGGGGTCAGGAATCAGCAATGGATGCTAAAACTAGTAGGTAAAAGTCCAATAAGAAACTGAATATTTACATTGTCTCAAAGTACATTGTAACCTTAGAAATATGTGGCAGACAGCGTTTTAACTGAGTGATCAAAAGTTAACATCACTTGTAATGGAGCAAAGGAACATCACGCATCTCCTGAAAAGGGCGCACACACCCTTGTGTGGTCACTGCGGAAAATGCAGCATCTCATTGGGAGAAGCATCAGGTGAATCCAGGGGATGAACACAGTAGAAAATGGTCTGTATTCTTCAAAAATTATAATAAGGTCATGGAAAAAGAAGACAGAAATTCTCCCAAAATAAAGGAGACTAAAGGGACATTAGTAGATATCCTGGGCCAGGACAAAAGATTTTTTGTTATAAAGAACATAATTGGAATGACAGGTAAAATTTGAGTAAAGTCTGTAGATTAATAAATTTAATAGTATTAAGTCAATGTTCATTATTTGGTATTTGTACTGTGCTTACATAAGAAAATGTCATTGCTTTTAGCAATACACACCAGAAGTATTTGGATATAAAGAAGAATAATATCAGCAATTTACTCTCAAATTGTTCAGGGAAAAAATACGTGTGTGTGTTTGTATATTTACTATATATAGAGAGAAGGAGAATGCCAATGAAAATGTGAATTGTTAACATTTTTGAGAATCTAGACAAAAGATATATAGAAATCTATTATACATTTTAATATTTTTCCATAAATCTGAAATTGTTTCAAAATGTAAAGCTTAAAAATAATGGTTCTTACAAATTACATACTCAATATAGAAGTTAGCCTCCTCTGAATCAAATAATCAACTTGAAATCATATGACCTTCCAGATAAAATTATATAGCCCATTGAATACATCTTAAACTTACAATTTTATTATCATTGATTTATTGATTATAAAACCAAGTAGGAACAATCTTTCGACAATTCTAAGGTTTTTTGCGTTGCCCTCTAATTTATGTCAGCATTCCCCATGACTTTGACACAAAAGCTAAACTTTCTATAACTGTCAAATCTGAGAAATGTTGAACAAGTTTCATTTCTTTCACGTCTTCCCGACTATACTGTAAATCTAAAGGCAGCAGATGTAGTTCCATTTTTTACAAATATGTAATCACAGACCTCTTTTTTAATCCTTACCCAAGGACATCTTTTCATTGCGTTGAGAGAAAGAGGAAGGGGGAGAGAGGAAGAGAAACATGAATATGACAGAACCATCAGTTGACTGCCTTCTGTGCCCAGCCAGCAGAGGACCAAACCTGCAACCCAGGAGTGTGTCCAGACTAGGAATCAAACCCGTGACCTTTCAGTCTGCAGAGTGACACACAACCAACTGAGCCACATGGCCAAAGCCACAGACTCCTTTAACAACCCAACACACTGAGAAAACAAATTCAGTGTACAAATTTGAGGTTATTTTCCAACCTTTTATTAGAACCAGCCAACCTATGTAGGACGATAAGAGACACATGCTATGCTGATTCATAACTCTCCTGCCTGGATGGCTCACAAGCATGTGATGTTTTTTGAATGTCAATAAACTTCAAAGACGGGAAAGTTTGTAGAGAACCTAGGATTACATGATCCAATGCTTTTCTTCTTAAAACTCTTCTGTCCAGCCCTGGCTGGTATGGTTCAGTGGATTGAGCACCAGACTACAGACCAAAGGGTTGCCAGTTCAATTCCCAGTCAGGGCACATGCCCGGGTTGTGGGCCAGATCCCTAGTAGAGAGCACTCGAGAGGCAACCACACATTGATGTTTCCCCTCTTTCTCCCCCTCTGTCTTAAAAAAAATCTTTAAAAAAATTCTGTATAAGTTCAAAAAATTGGTTTTCTTTAAAGCAGTCTTTATTATAACAGTGCAATTAAATGTAGTTAGAATATACTGCCCTACATTGTGGTCAGATAGTATTGTCAAAGCTGTAGATTTTTTAAAACAATGTGACTAACAACTAAGTCATGAATCCAAAATTTTCCTGCTTAAAAAGGAGGAATGGTATTTTAAAGGGTAAAAACAATATTGGATTCACTAGATTTGGGGGATTTTTTTTTGGATGAGGCTTCTCTTTAAAAAATGCAAAATACAGGAGAGGAGAGCAAGAACTATGCTCATCTTAATGTATTATAAATTACACATCTCACACACTGGATTCTCATAATTATGTGTTTTTAATGACAGACTTGCAAAACTCAAATCTGATTCTCTGACTTACCATCAGCTCCTGTTTCGGGCCTTCCTCAGGCCCCTTTGTTCTTGCACTGCTACATACTGCAAGGACACTTCCAGTTGACGACAAGATAGTACCCCACGGCCCACCATCTGCTGCTTCCCATGCCCTACCTGAGAAGCTATCAGAAAGGCTTCAAGCTCCAGATGTAGCCCCTCTATACATGGTTCAGTTGTTAACAACTAGTTAACTACTTTCTTACCCTGCAAAGCGTTCTCTAGACCAGCAGCCTATGAAGTTCCTAACTATGGTTGAGCATCTAAATCAAACACGAAACTTTTTTAAAAGTACCCAATTTCCCAGCCCTCTTCCCCTCGATTCTTACTAACAAGGTTCTGGGTGGAGCTGGGGGGTGAGAAACTTTGAAAAGCTTCTCTGTCGACTGGTCCATCTAAGAATTACTGTGGGGTCCTACCCCTCCAGAAATTTTCCCTGGCTGTAAGTACATAGACACAGCATCTTAGATCTAAAAAGTTACTTAAAGAGGATCAAAATTAAAATGTGGCCTATATATAGACTATCTTAATAGCCCCACCTTGGATCATTTTTAATAATTACCCTAGATTAGTTAATACACGCTAGAGTTTGAGACATACTAATATTAAACTTGACACACATGCAAAAATCATTAAAAAGTGCCCCAAAAGGTTAAGGGGATTTCTTACTTATAAATAAAGACTATAAACTGCAGTTTTCTACATGATCCTCAGTGTCGTCCGTAGCAGTTCTGCGGGACTTCACGTCCACAGTGCCTGTCCCCCATCCTGACCCATCGCATCCCAAAGCTGTACTGTACAGCCGTGTCTCCGCTCCTGCCCACCACCTGTTTTTCTCTATCCCTGTATAAAGGCTTTTGCATGGAAGAGTGCATGAAGAGTCCATACACAGATTCCTCCCAGATCCGCTAGTAACTTTCTGCATGACTGTGAGGACCTCACGCTTCCTCAATGTTGAGATTTTTCTTCTGCAAAGCCAGGAGAAGGGTTCAAATATGCTGAATGCTTCTGGCCCCCAAAGTGCATGATTTTCCGTCTTCAGGAGGCGCTCCTCCACTGTTTGTAGTAACTAGCAATGGTCTACCAGCTCCAAATTGCTGATCATCAGATATCTGGAAACTTTGAAAGCAGTGGTTAAACTGTCGGTAGCTTAAAGCCAGCCCATAGTGGGAATATTTACACCATGGAATAGGAAAATACTAAGAATTAGGGTTTTAAAAAGCAAAACCAAACTAAACAGAGAGCTGGCTTACCAACACACCACTGATAATAAGTATTATAATGTTTCTAGACCAGAACCAAATGCAGTAAAGATACAACAGAATGTTCCACCATATTTTAAGGTAGATAGATTATTACAGTACTAATTGAATCACATCAGATTTGCAAATTGTTCTAAAAAATCATTAAGTCTCCATAAAGCTACTCAGTGGGTCAAATGTGCATCCCCTGTACTGTTTTATTGATGTTGCTTTACTGCCTTCACAACTAAACCCAGGCCCTTTTAGTGCTTCCCAGATCAATAGGCTGCAGTAGCCCAGGCATCTTCCTACACGATGGATTCAAAGACTAGGCTTGTATGACTGAAAAAATGGGGAATGCACAACTAGTTCAATTACCTGACTATAAAAAAACAACTAATTCAGTTCACTGCATCATTGATCCCTTTAATTGTACGGCAGCTTCCTATTGATAACAGGAAATGTCCCTGAACCAACCATGCTGAACCTGAAACTGGCCAGTTTTCCACAACCATAAATTTTAATAAGGATTCTATTATGCATAATATGCAGAGACTAAGAATCACAGCCGGAGCTTATTAGATTTTTAAAAAATTTCACTGACCTATTTCCCCTGCGTATGACCTAATTTCTCTTATGCTTCCTGGACTTTGTTAGTCATTCAGTGTTAGCCTCTACTTATGTGCTTGCTGGGAGACTTTATTTCACATAGAGGTTGTGATCCATTTTCAATCATCTATCCATTTGGTTTTTGGAAACCATTCAGCCACCCACGAGCTTTACAGAAAGTTCTGCAAACCCAGAAATGATAACTTCAGTCATATTTCTGACCTCTCGATTTAGGCAGATGATATAAATGTGTATATTTTTGTAGTAAAAATACAACAAAAATGTGATTGGCTAGCTACTGTATTTTGAGCACTGTATTAGGTACTTAGGGAAGCAAGTATGAATAAGTTATAATCCCCCCTTCCAAGAGCTCGCAGTCTTGGATTCCAAGAGCTCCCAGGGGGATTATGGGGAAGATGTGTGCATGACAATCAAAGGTTACAGTGGTAAGTAAGTTCCATAGCAGGCGATAGGCAGTGTTATTGAAGCTTGGTGAGCAAATAATTCCAACTCAGTGAGAAAACAAGAATTCACAGATGGATGAGTAGGATTCCAGTAGCAAAGGAAAATGAGAAGCGCCATTCCAGGCAGAGGGAAGGGACACAAACCAAGCCCCAGGGAAGGGTGGTAAGAAATCCTGGGGTCAAGGGAAAGTGTTAGAGGAACACTGGGAGAAAAAGACAAGGATGGAGGGGTTTTGTTTTTTATGGCAACACTTATGTTTATTTTTGCAATACCTCAGGTAAACCATTTAAGCAATGTTGGATAAGGTGTTATTTTCACAAAAACATCTTTCAACACAAAAGTATTTCTATTTTCCACAAGAGTTAAAATGTACATGCTAGAACAGAATTAAATGCTGAAATAGCATGAAACAGTGTCAGGAGACTTAAGGAATAAGACCAGATAATGAACTTTGTCATTAAATAATGACACGGAACTAGAAAACTGATCCAGCAGTAAAATATAAAAATCTACAATTATAAATATAAATTTGGCCCATGGAGACATGGAGCAGTGTTTACAGTATCTGACTGTTTCCTACTCGAGGTGAATGCTACAGCCGTAAAGTGTTGAATATCATAGAGAACAGCATTTTATTTACCTGATAGTTGCTACAAATACAGCTAAAATTTTGACACTAAAAACAAACATGTTTTCTGTAGCTGAGAGTTCCTTTTACCTATAAATTTAAAATTTCTGCTAAAATAAATAAACTCATAATTCCATTCCTAGAAATGCTTTAAAACTCAATCATTTCAGTTGAAACACAGTAAATAAATAACAAGAAGCTTTGCACAGATCGTTAATGGTGTAAATTCGACAGCAGAATCCTGTGTCATGGAAGTCACTGTCGGGTGATGGGGGAAGCAGGTACTGAAGGCTGGACTGACTCTCCAGTCTCATTTCAGAAAGAGAAAAATGATGCTCGCACACAGGTTTTCCTCTCCCTTCTGAGAGTGTAACGACTCTCAGCTCTCGGCTGTATTTTCATCAGGCTACGCTGCTCCAATACCATCCAGAAAGGTGGATGGGTTCTCTCCTGACTCCCAAGGGGAGGAGCGCTGTACAGAGAAACTGATGCTGCTTGATGTCAGCAAAGACTCCTGGCCTTGTCAAATTGGTCAACGTCCACAGAATAGTCTTTCTAGTTGAAGCAAGGGATCGTCAGAGCACAGAAAGTCCATGGGCTCATCCCTGCTGGAAGCTTCTATTTTGATAACACTTAGAAGTTCAGAAGTTTTACTAACGGGACTACATGGGCTGGGCCACTTGGGACCCTGAAAATGTCTCACTTCAAGTACATAATCATCCATGATGCAAGAGGCATTGGTGTATTCTGTGCCTTCCCCACTCAGGGACAAAATGCCACCCCTTGACCTTTCCGCAGGGATGGTGGAAGGAGTTCTGTTCTTTTCCCTGTTGCATTGCTTTAGGGCTGTGGAATAGTCACTCCTCTGTATGTCTGATTGACTCAGCAGTTTGAATTGTTTCTCCAGCTTTGTTTTTCCTGCCGGTCCAGGAATGAAGAGCATGTTGACATAGGCGTGAATATGACTGTCTGGCACCTCAGACTCTTCACTAAGTATGGCCTCCACCAGAGCATCATACTATTTCTCAGTTTGCACCAAATAGTTTCTTTGCAAACGAATGTGTTTTAAGGAGCAAACATGTTGACAGTGCCTCCGTGCTGAATCTGCAACATACTGTCTAGCACAAGGTATGTTCCTGTCCCTCCAACGGCAGCACTACAGTGGGCAACCAGAGGCTCCACCGCGCGGTTCTGAGCGTGGGACCCCTTCCTCTGGAGAGTCAGCACTGGCGGCGAGCAGTGTGGCTCCCCTGGGTCAGGCCACCGCGTGTGGTGGCACTGCATGTCCGTGCCCTGGGTCTTCCTTTTCGGGAGACATTTTTTTAAATCTTTGTGTTTCTTTCTTTTTTAAATCCTCACTTGAGGATATGTTTTTATTGATTTTAGAGAGAAAGGAAAAAAGAGTGAGAGAGAGGGAGAAGAGAGAAAACCATCAGTGTGAGAGAGAAACACTGACTGGTTGTCTACCATACATGCCCCAGCTGGGGATCAAACCCGCAACCAAGGTAGGTGCCCTGAACGGGAATTGAACCTGTGACCTTTTGGTGTACTGGATGACGTTCCAACCAACTGAGCCACCTGGCCTAGGCTATCTTTGTGTTTCTTAAAGTAAAATTCCTCAGAGTATAATAGGCAAACATTTGAAGACTCTTCTGAGTGACCAGTAAGTTCCCACACTCTTCACTGTCATTGGCAGGCCAATGCTAGTCACATTGCCTCCTTCCTTTCTCTATGAGGTCTGTGGTCATGATGGCGACCTCCACATTGTGTTCCTGTGTCATTCTCCAGAGATTTTTGGCTGTGGATTTCAGTGGACCTGGGTCAGCAGTGTAAACTTTGGCCTGTTTACATAACTGACATTGATGTCATCGGTCAGTGTGCTATTTTTTTCAGCAAGTTTGAGAGTTTAACCCTAGTACGATCACCTGGTAAAACTCTTTCACTGTCTCAATTCTTCAGGAAACCCCCTGTTTGCATATAAATCTGCAATGTGCTTCATTGGAATTGCTCCAACAGCCTCTGAAACTAGAAAGATAGGTGTTGGAGACGAGGATGTTACCTGAGGGGAAATATTGTCCTCCAGATGGAAAAAAGCATGGTGTCTACAAGCATTTCCCTGAGCTCCAGCAGAGGGAGGGCAGAGGGGACTAGAGTGGCAGGAGTAGAGTCTGGTGTTGGTGGCTCTGGGGAGAGAGCTGCAGGGTCAGCCACAGATCTCTGTGCTGAGTCATTCCCCATCCTGCAGAAGCCATCTTTCTTGGGTCAAAACGGGGTGTTTTGAATGCAACGATAGGGTCAAGCAGGAAAAGTGTTAAATCAAATGTGCACAATGTAATAAAATATAATAATAGGCCTGGGTGCAGTGAAGCACAGTCGAGGAAATGTGACTGCAGTGAACAGCAAGGGCATTTCAACCAGGTCTTCTAGGACTTTGCAAAATGGGCGAGAGGAGAAACAGCACTCTGAGAAGGACTGGCATGAACAAAGTCACAAAGACAATAGTAATAATGATCCTTATTACTGTGTGCGCCAGGCCCTGTGCTGAGCACTTTATCTATATTACCACACTTTATTCTGTGGCTGAGCGTAGGAGGTATATTTTCATTTTACAGACATGAAACTGGGATCCAGAGAGCTAAGTAACATGCCCAAGGCCACATAATAGTAGACTCCTGACTCAAACTCACTGTGCTACAAAATCTTTCATTGGAAAAAAAGTAAAGATATAGGATGTAAGACCACAACAGTCAAGTTACGGTATTATATATGGCATGTTACATATTCTTACATATATACACACACCAGGGGACCAAAAGAATATAAGTTATTTATGAAAATTGTGTTTGTTCACACACGTTTAAACCTCAGGCACCTTCAAAGGTGCCTCCATTCGATGCAATACACCTGTTGGGACATTTTTTCTATTGCTCAGTTTTTCAACTCATCGATTTTGATGCCTTTTAATGCTTCTACTATTTTTGTTCCACCTTTTCCCCACTGGCAAAACTTTTTCCACTGGGGAAACGAAAGAAAGCAGCTCAGGGCGAGATGGGGTGAACGGGGAGGGCTGAGCAGGGGGTCACGTCGCTTTTGTTCAAAAACTGCTGGACACTCAGCACGGTGTGGGCAGCTGCTCCCATAAATCACCCATTGTGAAATGGGCAAACACATTGGAAGAGGCTTCAAAAAAATTTGCTGGAGCTCAATGCAGCCTCTCACGACACCACCAGCTGGTACAGTGATACAGATGGGTTCCTAGAACACTCACCAGACTCAGGAAACCTGCACTACAAGGGTCCCATCTTGCTAGAGGATAATTTCAGTTTGGGGGGGGTCCTCTTTCACAAGTAATCATTTTTAAAGCTTGTAATAACCCTTTACTGAGCAGCTGCTATTTTTGCAAGAAAGTTAATTTAGGTATTACACCATCACACAACAGCTTGACCAAAGCCACCAGTGTCAAAGTGTCAAAGCTCGAGATTCTTGCCACACAGAAAGGACAGAGGGGGCTGAGTAGGACAGGGAGAGAGGATGACAGTTACGACTGGCCAGAGAGGTATCAGTGGAGGAAAAACAAGGAAGTTTCGGCAGTTACGAATGACAACTACACTATTCTAATTCTGCTTCCATCCACCCTTCTTACTTAACACACATAGAGAAGGAATGAGGGTCTCTACAGGGAGACCTTACTTGATTTAAACATTGCTGAATTTGAAATATGACCAAAACATCCAGGTGGATACACTCAAAGAGCCACAAATACTGGTGGTCAAGATTTGGTATAAGATATCTTGTAATGGAAGGTGCAAGAGGAAGCCGTCCAAAAACTAAAATAGACTATAACAAAATACAGCTTCTGTTTTCTTGGACAAGGCCAGTTTGGCAAAGATCAAGTCTGCCCAGGGATGTCATGGTTTAGTCCAACTTGGAACGGGAGCTAGCAGTCCTGGAGTTTCAGTCCAGGGGCAGCTGGCCAGGGATCGGAGTACTGTTGGCATGATGCCACATGCTAATCTAGGTGAGGATGTCAGGTCGTGCAGAATGAGAGTAACATCTGGCCTTCCCAGGGCCCGAAAGAAATGGGGTGGAGGTAGGAACACTGAATGGGGTTCCCCCTTCAGTGACTATACTTTACAAGGGATCCTGAACTCCAGGACACCAGAAAACTGCATGGCCCTTAGAAACTATTCAGTAGCCCCCATTGTTTTCAGGAAGTGTTGTTGATCCAGAAGTGTCCCTTTTGGTCAGATTTCTGATCTCTTTTTGGTTTAGGCAGATGTTATTTAGTCCTGATCTCACTGGAATTCTGAAAGAGACTGAAGTGACTCTGGCCCAACATGTACCACAGACCACGAGCACTGCAGCTCCTCTCATTTATGTGTCAGGTGGCAGGCTGGGAGCCGGCCAGACGGACATGGTTCTGGAATGTAGGATGGAAATGGGCAGAGATGGAAGTCATCTACCAGTAGGCTGGGCCTCAAGCCTGCCGTATATAAAATCATTCAGAAACGTAGGCTGGAAAAAGGACCAGAGATTGGAAATGCTTACCTTTAAGGAGCAGTCAGAGGAAGGACACTGAGAAAGGTTAATCAGATAGGTTAAAGACAAGTGAGAATAATGTAACTTCTAATTTTCCCTTCTTTTCATTCTTCCCTCATTTCCTGTGTGACACTTTTATTTTCTACTTTGATTTGTAATCGGAACAAGCCTTCAAAAAGAAAACTCGCTTCATTGCAACAGGGTAGTAATGGTTCCTCCCGCTGGGAATGTGATGAGTATTAACTGGGATAATGTACGTGGCTGCGTCTATTGGGGGCTCCACACGTGTAGATTCTCACCACCACGGGCTGCTGCCCACCCGCCCCCTTCCCTGGGGTTACAGGCCTTAGCCTCTAGGTCTTTTGATTTCACCATGAAAATTGAAAGAGCTGTGATTAAATTAGGTGTGGTCGATTTCTGCATGTAGGCTTCCCAGTGAGAGAAAAGGAGAATCAAGCTCTGGTTTCCATCATGCTTTCAAAGCTGTCCTTTGGCTAGCTCTTCACGGGTGAGAAAATTGAAACGATCATCTGAACAGAAGTGCCTTCTCCAAATTCATAGCTATAGTTTGTGCTCTGGCACACACTTTCCTGTTGGTTGCTTAGCATTTGGAAAATTTCACAATTCGAAAGAAGCATGGCATTGAATCGTTTGGTAGTACTTATCCGTCCAATTCTGAAACATACCAGTTCCCTGGAATCACCTTATAGGTGGTCTGTGGCTTAGCTATTACATTTCAGCTCTGCCATTTCGTAGGTGCAAAGATGATGATCTGTTACCTTTCCCCTTGTTAGGAAGAAGTAGCCAGTGTTTATGGTTATATAGGTCACCATTAGTTCCACTTCCTGAACCCACCTTTCCCATTTGCTCACACGGTTTATCTGAGAAACTCACACAGCTTTCAAAACATAGTTCTATTGTCTACACAGGAGCTCCTTTATAGACTGTGGGGCCGTAATCTCTGACAAATGAAATGGAGAACCTAAAACAAACAGTTCCCAAATAGTCTTCCTGGACTGCTCAAACCTAGGAAATTGATAGATGTTTACCTCATGGTCCACAAGGCTCCGCACTTCCGCTTTGGAGGTCGGGCAGAGCTCCAGAAGGAGAAAACTTGCGCTGGCTTATAATCGCCTCTTCCTCCTGCCTAGGACACCCTCCCCTCTCCACCACCTGAGGGTTCAAGGACCCCCAGGGAGAATTTGTCTAACCTAGTGACCTGTGCGTGTACGTATGAGTATGTGTGTAGACACACCAACATTAAACAATGGGGGGACTTTACATAAAACGCAAATTTAGACCTCGGCTAAGTCAGAGACTGCCACAAAACAAGGCCTGCACCTCCGTTCATGACAGTCAGGCCGAGCGGGGTAGTGAGTGAGCTTCAAAGATCGCGCCTCTGTCTGCTCCACTCTTGGCGGTGTCCCTGAAATACATCGGTTGCTGTCCCTAATGCTAAATACGATGGCACTGGGTTTTAAGAAAGCTTATCTTCACCATTTCACTCTTCTGCACCGCCTGCAGGGCTCAGTAGATCCTCCCAGGAAGGCGGTGAGTTCCGTCCGCTGCCAGCTAGACTCCAACCGCCAGCACCGGCACCAGTGTCTCCAAGTGCCCATTAGGCTGTCCGCTTTCTGGACGGGGGAAATCAACAGGGTTTTTCTCCCTCCCTTTCTCTGAGTCCCTAGGTCTCTTGGAACGGAGTCTGTCCAGACTCCTGAGGTCATCCAAATGGCCCTGGGATGCCTCCCAGGGCTGGAACGCGGCGGCAGGATCGGAGTGTGGCGCCGGGCCCTCTGACACATCCCGGCTCCTCCAGCTCCCCTCCTAGAACAGTTCAATGAGAGCCGACTGAAAGGGAGACTTTTGTTGTTGTTGAAACGTTGATGCTTCTGTGTTTTATATCGATATATGCACATTTTACATATATCCATATGCATATTATACATATACATAGGCATGTATGATTTTGATATATCACAATAGAAAATTTAGGTATGTTCTTGGTCTATTGTTCAGTTGAGGTGGGGAAGTCCTGGCCCGGAGTGTGTGGACCTTGTTTCCCGATGTATCCAATTTCTTTCTAATTTGAGAAAGTACCCTGTATAGACACTAATGCTCATGTTACTCTTTCATGAGCCTTATTCTGCTGAACAACTTGTCCATCCACTTTCGCTTACTGCCCTTTCCTGTTCACCCTCAGAGATGCACAGGGTAAAAATCATTACCCTGCGTAATGAAAAAGAAAGCGAGGCGCAGATGAAGCAAGCCGCCGACGGCCAGCAGCCGCATGGGGCGGAGTCAGGGAAAAGCCCGCCTCCCAGCCAGCCCCCCGGAGTTCTTTCTGAGACGGACGCTTCCATCAGGATGCTGGGCACGTGTATAGCATGTCTGTGATTGAATAAACTAGCCACAGTCCTAGGCATTTAGTACATAGAAAGATAAAGCAGAATATTGAAAAGACATATGCACTGTACTGGAAGTTTCTAGCCATTGTATTGGAGTAAGAGGCTTAGAGCAGCTGTCCAGTTTCTCTGTAATGAAAAATGGTCATGGTTGGAATATGCTCCTTTATCTCACTAATTCTATAACCCATTTTTTTATCAAGGACCTCAAGCCCGAAGAACTCAAACTGCGATTTGGAGCTTATCTCATTATTATGCACCACCATACCCTCAAAGGATGTGGGCCTGTATCATTATCTTCACGTTTCAGATGAAACATGGCCGTGGAGAGCAGCCCAGCTCTATACATGTCTGGGTGAAGGATTCAGAGATGGCTTCCTTGTATCTCCATTTATCCGTGTCTGATTTGGCTTTGCCCTCGCTTGTAAGAAACAAGACTGAGATAAACCAAGTGGAATGCCGCCGTTTCAGCCCGATGTGCCTGGTGTCACAGTCTGGCCAGCGCAGTAAGATCAAAGCCCTACGGCCGTGGTGAGGACAAAAGGCTGCAAGGAAGCAAGGCGGGCAAAGAGGCCATTACGCAGTGGCCTGGGTACCCACGTGTCCTTGGAAAAATATGAAAAACAAAGATGTGAATTATTGAACAGTGACAGTGAAAACCTACATCTCACAGGGAAAACAGCCAGCTCAGAGATCCAAGCAGAGGCCATGCCCGAGCTGGGATTTGAGACCCGTGTGATCTTTCCCATGGTACGATCCTGGCCATCCATGTGCGACTCGACGGCTTCCGACACTTCTCACCACTTCTCATTCTGCAGCTCCCTCTGCGTTTTTTAAAAAAGCAGGCCAAAGACACTTGTCATTAGTGACCCAATGACCACTAAAAGGGACATGAGAAATGTCACACTGGGAATACCAGTGGTCCATCTGACCAAGAATTCTGTCACCATTACCTGAGACACTGGGGGGAGACATGATGGTAACAGCAATTACCTGTTGGAAGAGGCAAGGACTGGACAGATGTGGGGCAGATGCAAGGAAAAGAAAGCAAGTTTCACTGAATGGCCTTTTGTAACAGGGTGCAGCCAAGGGGGGGACCCCAAATAGGGATTTGTAATGGGGTCCAGAACTTGGTGTCCAGGAAATATTAGAAAAAATATATATATATGTATAGGGCATCCTCATCCCCACGAGTCTGAGCTGGGGGATGGGATGCATGGAGCAGGGCCATTGAGAAGAGCATGGAGATGACTGGCTCCACACCACAGAGCCACACCTGCCTGGACTTACTATGGAAGCCCCGTAAAGCTGGAAAAATATGGGAATGCTGACTACTGTGGCCAATTGTGGGAGGAGCCAGAAATGGTGCAGCAGAGGAAGATTGGCGCTGGGATTTAAATCAAGGTGTGGCAGCCATACAGCATCTTTTTGGGACCACACAGCTCAAGCAGAGAAGAACCACAGACTTCTACTTCTTTTTCTGGAATATGGTACCCCAGACTGGGCAGAGGGGGAAGGAAGGACTGTGCATTTGTAAGTATTCTAAAGGACTTTGAGATCTCAGTGAAGACATTAAGTTATTACTCTTACGTTTACATAAATTTTTAAATAAATAATTCCTTTCCTTTCACCAATATCTGGCATTGAGAGACGCCTTTCTCTTGTGGCAGGCAAGGCGAACCTAGTATCAGGGCAGGGGGCCCCGTATCTTTCACCCCAACCCGTGTCTGTTCTGTGATACTTTCATATCTTCTAAATAGTTAAATCAAATAAAATATAAATTTTAAAAACACAGAAAAGTCTTAAGTGCCTTTTCTTATTAATCAGATTGATTTTCACTCACTAATTTATCCAAACCTGTCTTTGACCCCTTTACCTACTTAGCCAAAGTATTACACTCTAGGGTGTAACCTCTTTCATATATGTACTTGTGGAATTTAAATAAAATACCATTTTTTTTGTTTATTCTATAGGCATTTTGCCCTTGGTAGCAAAACTCCCTTTCATCTAACATTCTGATATTAAATGAATATATTTGTGTTTATTATCCTCAAACCATTCATTAACCTATAAGCATTAATGAAATCTCCCCATTATCTTTGCTTTTTCTCACTGGAGTTCCATTTCTGTTAATAAATTTCTTATTTCCATTCTGTTTGCAACATAAACCAACTTCTTGACTTTTAAGTAAGGTGATTAGAACTCCATTTCTTTTCCTATTAGTACCACCAGCCACCAGCCTCTCCACTCCCATGACTAGCTTTCACCTTCGTTTTTATCCATGAATTCCTTTCCCTCAGGAAACATCCAAAAATGAGCATTTCAGAACACTTCCTTTTTAAACAATTCCTAACTCACAGTCAATTCCTCTCTTTTTGTCCCCTCTCTTTCCTCTAACCTGCAGTTCTCCACCTGCCTGTCCCTCACCCACCGGTGACTCTGCCCTGCGCCATTGTTGAGTTTCATGTTCCAGCCCAGCTCCTACCCCACCAACGTGCCCTCTGACCCCCTCTTCTCACCTATGCTTCTAACTGCCAAAATAAAAGATGTTTCTCCACTTTCATCATCCTCAGACCTTTTCCAGTGTTTGAAACCATTGGAAAACATTCATACCTATCATAGATCACAGGCTGTTACATTAAAATTGTCACTGGCTGCTTGTTGACCACCAGCATCCTGACCTCTTATAAGAGACCCCCCTGGACAGTCCTGTGGACCCAACTCACTCCGGCTTGGGAGTGGTCCTGCACCCACTGCAGCAGATACTGTCATGTTCTGCCTGTGCCCCTTGGGGTCCCTTTCTAGAGTGACCAGCTGTTCAGTTTGTCCAGAACTAAGCAGCTTCCCAGGATGTTGGACTTTCCATTTTAAATATGAACAGTCCCTAGCCAATCAAATGAACTGGTCACCCTATATTTACTATCTTAGCCATACAGCTCTTTTGTGCACCCTGACTCCCAGATTTCAGTGCTTATGTTTCCTACCAGGGGGCTGCTGCTAGCATCCCCTACACTTGCTCTCCCAGAGAGCCGGAAGGATAAAAGAGTTTAGATTCTGCCGTGTCTTTGACCCTGAGGGGGACAATACTGAGTTATACCACAGTTGAGAACGAGACAGACAAGTACCTGCATCACACAATTTCCGTTTGTAGAGAGAATATCATTGACCATTCCCTTTGCCTAGAGCACTGAGTTAACAAGTTCTGATGGCGTGGAAGGAATACTGAACTCCACCTGACACCTGGACTCCAGCTATACTTTGGGTTCCAGGCAGAATAGGAGATAATGCAGCCTATCTCCTGGCTGCTTCACATGATGTCCCTGAGCTGCCATTTCCTCATCGACATAACAAAGGTTTTGAATCAGAGGTTCTCAGGACCTTCCAACTGAGGTCTCCACCATTTATACCATTGCTTCCCTTTGTTTGAACAAGTTATAACTTTCTTCTCCTTCATAAAGTCTTTAGAAGTAGCTAATGCTTGGGGGATGAGTAAAGAAGGGATGAGAACTTGTAAAGGGGACGAACAAAAATGAGGTTCCCGGACTTTTGAAAGCTGCCTCTCAAGCCCTACAAGATATATTCCATATTCTTATACTCTTTCTTTTAAATTGTGACAGTTCTCTAAATTATTAATACACATCTGCTCAAACTGTGGTTGCCATCTCAACTGGCCCATTTGGCAAGAGTGAGAGGCTGCACATTGTGATCTGGGCCAATGTCATGTGATTTTTCGGCATTGCTATCTGGAGCGTGCAGCTGTTACAGAGAACTCCAGGTGTTAGACAGCAGATGTTCTTGGGATTCACAAAGAAAAACAGGTAACTGCTCCTCCACGCTTCTTAGCGTAAAGACACAATGATATCCATGAATATACTTTGATGGAAGGGACCCAAGGGCCAGCCCGCGTGGTGGCCTGTGTGTACCTCATTCCAAGCCAGTCAGTAGTGCCGGGAATACAGGTTTGTTTGTCTGTTCCTTTTTTGTTTACAGAATAAGTGTTAACATTGCTGTGTATAAAAGGTGCTGCTATGCCAGTGTTTTTTCCAAGTGCACTACAGGAAATACATGCTTCCGAATGACTTGGGCTACATATGAAAATGCAGATTTCTGGGCCAATTTTGGAAATTCAGAGTCAGGAGGCCTGGCACTCAATCACTGCCCCAAAACACACTGAAAATAAGGAATGCTGCGGACATCTGTTTATGCAACTCCCACCCCTCCCTGTGCCTTCTGCCGGGCCGTTCAGGTTCCAGATCAGATATTCGCCAGTTCTCCTCCTGGTAGTGACCATAAATTGGGACAGCCATCGGTATCACCTCCACCCCTCCATCACCTCCACCCACTACCACCCCGTCTCCTACTCCTGCCACAGCTGTGGCGACAAAAATTCCAAGGGTGTAGCAAAAAGTAGACTCTAAAAAGTCACCCCAACCAAGGGTCACAATAGACTCTGACTCAAAGGAAAGGTGGCTGGGAAGTCCAAGGTTGGAAACGCGCGGGAGCTTGGTGAACGTGGCAGAAGGGACGGCCAGGCCTGGTCCCAGGGCAGCGTGCTCTGGCTGCCACAACTACAGTGGGGCCAGTGTCGGGACCTGGGGGGGGGGTGATTTCCAGACCAGATCACACCCTTTTGTTATACACCACTGAGAAAATTATACACTGAGATATTCAGAGTGTTGAGAATCTTATAGTAGAAGAGGGAAGTTTTGAGTCAAAAAATGTAACTATCTTAAATGTAATATATGACCTATCACTCAACAGAAATGTAGTTTCTACCACTTAATCTGTTATTTATAGAATTGATTCTGTTGTGTTTTTAGATTGATTAATCTTAATCATTCAGTGAGTATTTATCAGTGCCTGCAGAGGTACAATGTTCAGCAAAAACTGACTTGGTCTCCGCCCTCATGGAGTATATTTTATTTCACTGGGGAAGGTGGGTTATTGAATAAATAATCACGTGACCAAAGGCGTAATTACAAACTGAGCTAAGTGTTATAACAGTGAGGTTCATGCTGTTACATGGTTATATTACAGGAGAACCTGCCACAGTCTTGGGATAAGGGGTAGGACTGGCGCCTCTGAAGAACGACATGTGATTTAAAAACTGAAGAATGAGTATAAGTTATCTAGACTTGGTCTGCATGAGGGCGATTCAGGGAAGAGAGAGCATTTCAGACAGAGGGAATAGCATGCACCAGTGTCCTGAGTACAGAGAGCAGGGAGACAGAAATCATATTAGGCTGGAGCTTCAGGCAGAGGCCGGCCTTTGCATGTCCTTACCAGTGATGCTAAGTAGACAATTCTCTATCTGACAGTTCTTTGAGAACAGGAAAGAGCTTGAGCAGGAGATGACACAGTCTGATTTGCATTTTGAAAAGGCCGCTTTGACAGCGGAGTCAAGAGAAGAGGAGAAGGGCCGCGGCTACACGTGAGGAGCTCAGCCAGACGCCTGTGGCGCCAGGTCAGGTGGATGACAGCAGGGCTTGGGCGGAGGGGCCAGCTGTGGAGGCGGGGGGAGGGCATTGCTCTGACACCTGCGTCTGTGGCGTCAGTGGCAGTGTTGAGCGATGGACTGGACACAGGATTGAAGGGCAGGAGAGGAACGATTCAAGGATGATGCCCGAGTGTTTGGATTGTTTTGCTAAATAGAGAACTGTGGGGAACCCATGAGAGAACACTTAAGAGGACTGTGTTGGGGGGTGGGGAGGATAATTGAATTAACTTTTGGGTGTGTTTAGATTGAAGCGTGTTTGGGATATTCTAATGAAGACCTTGACTGGTCACTGAAGTTTGGGAATCAGCAATGCTTTGTCAGTAATGGAACTCGTAAGTGTGGATGTGCTGTCCTAGAGGTTCCATATAAACCGATGGCAATGCACAGCCGTGCTTGAAGACTGGGTCTTAGAGTGAAGCTACCTGGATATTCAGCCCAGCTGCGTTACTTCCTAGCTGTGCAACCATGAAGAAATTACTCAAACACTCTAAACAAAGTATTTCTATCTGTAAGACAGAGACAACAGTATTTCAGAATTTATAATGCTGCTGGGGATATGAAACGGCATGATGCATTTAAAAGTCTTAGCATGGTTCTCAAAATCTTGTAACTGTACTCTCAGCCAGCCCATACATGTGGACT